AGAAATACCGGGAGCAAAATTTTCGTGTTATTCAAACATGGCAGTCACCGGAAGTCCGTAAATACAATATGTCAAAATTCATCCATAAGGGAAAAATCAAGGAAGGTTTGTTGCTCAATAGTGCATTTTGTAGGAACATGTATAGCTTTCAATAGAGAGGCGAATGATACAACTAGTTAATAACCGGGGTACAGAATAAAAACTATAAAAAAAGGCTTATTTTGGGCAAACAACATCAGCCACACGCTTTGAGCAAGAAATGGATGGAAATCGAAAACATGCAAAAATGTCCCAGACTCCCCTTGAGCCAACCATGCTGACTTTTCGTTTATCACAAATTCTTAAAGACTTGCTTGCCATTTCAGACTTTCCGTCTAAACCAGAGCCTGTATCAGTTCATATATTTTCTTTTTTATTACTGACTATATTAAAGGGACATTAGCTACGATTTAGGCAAAACTGAAAATACGAATCTTTTTGTTTCAAGTATTAACAAAAGCGGAATTGAAAAAAAACGTTATAAGCAGTCAGATTGGTCCAAATTTATCAGAATAAGCTAACAAAAAACTGCTGATGTATAATTGACTCTATTAAAAGAAAAAGAATGTCAACATTGAAAGGGAAACAATGGGAAACCATTTGGTTGACTGATTCGATCCACACAAAATAATTCTTATACAGGTAAAACTATGAAGTTCATATTTTTTTTAACCTATAATATGAAATCAAATAGACATAGAAAAATCCAATTGCACGTGCTCGCCATCTATTTATATTCATGTTTAAATTGGGTTATATGACTGTCGGCAGTCTTAAATATGTTATTGATTCACTAGTTGTTTGACCGTTATGAAATATCTGTTTCACATGAGACGACGGAGATGTCCTTATTATCGTAGCCACAATGCCGTCCTCTTTTTCTCGAATGTGACTTTCCAAATTAGACCTATTAACGGGTTTGTTTTTTGCTTGTTTTTTGTTTTGTTTTGTTTTTTGAGGTAGGGTGCGGGGTCATGTCGCTCAGTCTTTATAAAAACAAGAAGATGTGGAATGATTGCTAATGTTTGCTATGCTGTGGATTTTTATACTGTTGGTTTTTTTTGTGTTTTTTTTTTTGGAGGGGGCTGGGTCATGTCGCTCAGTCTTTATAAAAACAATATGATTTGGAATGATTGCCAATGTTTATATGCTGTGATTTGTATACTGTTGTTGGTCTTTTTTTTTCGTTTTTTGCAATAGCACTGTCAGTTCTTTTTCGACTTATCAGTTTAACTATCCCTTTGATTTTTTCCGCATTTCTTTTAACAACACAAACCTTGTAATAAATAAATAATTTGTTTTACTAAAACAAAATAGGTTTTCTTTAAGTAAATTTAGTAATATCCCTTGCTTTGCCTTGGAAATACATGTCTCGTCAAGGTTATGAAAGACTTCTCAGTACCTTTACGAAGAAGAAAAAAAGGTGTCAAGTATTAAATAAACATCAGGAATGAGTTTCACAAAAAAACTTACGACTAAAATTGATCATAAGTCTTACACAATTCAGTATACTTACGATCAACATCAGTCGTAAGATTTTTTTGTGAACCAATTTCAACGAAAGATTGAGTGATTGAGCATATACTTAGGGTATCTTGTATAAAGTTTGTGTTTTCAATTTCAATCATTCAACAATGTCTGCCCTAAGGGTAAAATGCAATAACTGTCTTATATCTTGACAACCAAAATTGAAAGAGATTATCAGATGGAATAAAAATGCTCAGAATGGCAAGATCTAGCTATTTTTTATTTTCACCAAAATTATCAGAGGGCTCATTGAATGGGTAATTGCCCGTAAATAATGAATATTTTGCTGATTTTCATGTTTTGACCTCTTACATCAAAAACTATAACTGTTAATGGAAAAAAAGATAAGCAGATCTTTAAAATTTTAATATGACTGTCCTTAAAGACGTTTTTTGACTAATTTCAGTTTTGGCCAATTATCTCGAAAAGTATTGTAGATAGGTAGTAAATGTAGACAGCAAAAATAATGAGCCATACACGATCTACACGAAATCAACTTTAATTGTCAATTGAATCCTGAGACGAGTTTGTTGCCAATGCAGTTTTCTCGCGTCGGTGATCATCGTCAAATTTCATTCCCATGTTTGCGAGTACATGCTTGGATATTCCAGGTGGAGGAGTAAAGCTCCTCCTGTGTCTTGCTATATCTCCCAAAATCGAATACTAATCTCGTCTTCGTCTCATTCCACGTAAGACCGCATTTTTTGTTGTTGCTTACAACTTATTCTGACCAGTGCTTCACCCAAGATCTAGCGTCTGTAATTTCGAAGACGTTAGCAAATGTCATATTTCGCCATAGCAACAACCTCACATTAACTCCACTTTACGTTCACATAGAGAAGGCGAAATAATTAACCCGGGTTCGCCCCCACATTTACTCCACATAAAACTTTTGACTCCGAAGTTTTTATTTTTTCGATAGGTGATTTCCTCTGTGGTAGGACAACTGCTTCGGTTCTAACCCGGATTAAAGAGGCATAGTGTGAACGGGGTATTAGTACTTTGACGTTTTCAATGTCATATTAAGTTCCGGTTTAATCAATTAAAACAATCAAAATTCGTAAAAGGTTCCGCGTAACCCTGTCAGTGTGGAAGTGTATAACGTTCACCATAAACGCGAGTCTATATTTATCAGTAAAATACAGAATTTAAAAAAAAACGTTGGTTCTTTAGATGCCTTTTCTTGAACCTGAAGATACCCAAGTTTTATAACAATGCATGATGGTTTACAAATTTATCACATCAAACAAATTTAATCTTAGACTATCTGTAAAGGTATACTGCAAAAAAACTGTCAGTAAAATACTGATAATGAAAGATTTTTTTTAATTTTGCCTCAAACATGCGAGACATAATCTCTCTATCAATAAAAAAAAAGCTTCTGCCAACGTTTCAAAAAATTCTATGAAGGTTTGAAAAATCAATTGATGTGTAATAAACTTTAATCTATGAAGATTTGATAAAGTTAATGATGACTGAAAAACTGTAATATTATACTGTATCTCAATGTTAACTCTAAAACAAACTAGGTTCCTTTATCATTAAAATACGGAATAAAAAAAAGAAATATTTTCAAAATTTTGCTCTTATTTTGATACTCTCTTTTAGTCATAAAAAAGCCTCTGTCCTGATTTCATAAACTTCCATGAAGGTTTGATAAAGTTATTGATGACTGAAATACTTTAAGCTTAGACTATATCTTAATGTTAAAAAACTGTAAAAAAAATATTAAGTCCATTTTATACTAAAATATAGAAAAATCAAAATAAATATTTTCATAATTTTGCTCTGGATACTGTCTTTTGGTCATAAAAAAGCTTCTGCCCAAATTTCATAAAATTTCATAAATGTTTAACAGTTATTGATGACTGAAAAAGTTTACGATTTAATTTTGACTGTATTTACACGTAAATGTAAATTGTAAAAAAAAATATAAGTCCATTAATAGTAAAGTACGGAAAAATGAAAATAAATGTTTTCAAAATTTTTCTCTAGATACTGTCTTTGGTCTTAAAAAAGCGTCTCTCCAAATTTCATTAAATTCTTTAAAGGTTTGACAAAGTTATTGATGTTTAAAAAAGTTTCACATACTGAACCTAAATGTTGACGCCGCCGACGTCGTCGAGGTAATCTAGGATCGCTATGTCTCGCTTTCGCTACATAAAAGTCAAAATGACCAAAATGGTGTGTGGTACGCTAAAAACGGAATTATAAACTACACAAATGACGTGACTGACGACTGTGATATAATATGTATATAATATAAGGTCGCAAGTGATGTCAAATATAGTGCCAAGATGATAATAGTAAAAAATCGTAAATAGGTTTTTTTTATGATTTTTTTGTGTAATATCGTCAACCGGAAGAAGAATTCACACCACTGTTTTGAATATGAACAAGTCTTAATCATCAGTAATAAAGATCAATAAACAAATTAAAACAAATCAGAGTTTTTAGCGTTTAGGAGAAGAACTTGTGGATATTCATATGCTTCTTGGATAATGACGACCATAGTTCATTATTACTTCTGTTGAAGTTTATTTATATACGTTTTCTGAATTTCAGGAATATCTATGAATTGGATGAACAGGAAATTGCATAAACTTGAAATAGAATGAGACACAAAGTGCTGTCAGATAGGGTGTGCACCTTAATGCGATTCCGAAATCAAAACGTCCAACATTTTTATGATTTTTGCTAATAAGAATCAGTGTCGTTTAAAACGTTTAACGTTTTTATATTGCTGCTATATTCTATTTACAGTTTTTGAAAATATTGGCGATATTTATTTATAACTTTTATCAATCCATTTAAATCTTCCATGCATCTTTGTGACATGCACATGTAGCATTTTATTGTGAGAGAAAAGAGCAATTTATATGACGCATTTAAATTTAAATTTCCTTCTTTTTATTTCTTAAATGTACATATTTACCGTAATAGCTACCTTCCCCCTTTTTTATTTATAATCTGGTTTTACTAATAGAAACATGGCACTTTTTTAGTAATCATGGTAATACTGTTCTGATGAAACTGAGTTTAAATTCATTCTCTGTGCAATTATACTTTGATTGATTGATTGATATTTTGCGTTTTACGCCACTTTCAGCACTATTGCTATATCTTAGCGATCAGTTTTTAATGGTGGAGGAAACCGGAGTGCCAGTAAAAAGCCATCGACCTTCGGAAGGAAAAATGGCAATCCAGTCATTTAAGGTTGAAGGCCGTTATACATTGGTTTACGAGAAAAAATAAATGATGTCAGAAGGAAATCCGACCACTCGGTTTACTGTCATTATACAAGTGAAAGTGAGTTGGCGTTTATGATGTCTTATAAAGTAGTGGTTAAACAATTGAAATTATTACATCATGAATAAAAGGTGTGTGTTATTCATCCAACAGATATATATATATAAACCAAATATGACTTGACTGATGGCTATATGATGTACATATTTTATGTCATTAATTAAATTACCGGTACATATATTATAGTAAGGATGTTTATACTGGGAAATCCTTAATATAGGTTCCATTTCATGAACGTTTTACTTAATCTTGTGTATTGGTTGAAATTACACCACTGATCTCAACAGGAGTAAACGTTTACATTCAGAAATGTGTCAGAAAAATGAAAACCTCAAATGAAACGTAGAGTATTTAGCGATCAAGTGACAAAGGAAGCTTGCAAATATTTCATATACTTCTTGTCTAATTTTGAAAATAGTTGAAATTTACTTCTGTTGCAAGAACTGTTATTTTGTTAAAATACTTTATTTCGTGTGTCAATGATTATTTATAACGGTGTTACCTGTGATGATATACCTGATAATACCAATATAACACCACCTATACAAAAAACGTTATCAGAGCTTGTTTAATAATTGAGAACTTCACCTGTTTAAAAGGGAAAAGTATAATATCAAAATGTTAAAAGAAAATTATTACAGTTTTCAAACTGGCAAAAATCGTACATTTACTACTGTGGATTATGTTCTGTTCGGTCTGACATTGGCTGTATCTGCTAGTATCGGATTTTACTATGCCTGGGCAGACAGACGCAAGAAGAACATTAAAGAATTTCTCATGGCTGGAGGTAACATGAGTCCTATACCTGTGGCTCTTTCTCTACTAGCCAGTTTCATGTCTGCCATCACATTACTTGGTACACCAGGAGAGATGTATAACTACACAACCATGTATTGGTGGATAGGACTGTCCTATTTCTTTGTAGTGTTTGGTGCTGCCCATGTGTTCCTGCCTGTATTCTATAACCTTAAGGTCACCAGTGCATACGAGGTTAGTGGATTAATTACGTTCTGTCACCTCAACGTCAGTAATACATACTATTGAGAGCTTTATGTTAAATTTACATTCTCAAACTTAAAAGTACATCCGAGGTTTATATTATACATCAATTACCTTAAAGTTAAAGTTTAAGTAAATCCTTTTATATATTTTATTTTGACAATGAGACCGCAATTCAACGACACATGAAATCAAACGACATCTGTATCAAAATAAAACGTACGTATGTATTTACCTTTGGTTTACAAGAGTTAATTTTAATAAGTTTCAATGTACTTAAAGAAATGAACCATTGCATTTTCTCCCAGCCTTACGGTGACCTCTAGGTGTTTAACACAAATATACTAAGGTGTTCCATATATAATTGTTGCGGATTAGCATTCATACATCATTATTCTATTTAGTTATCCGACTGAATTTATTTAACAATGACTTAGTTCATGTGGTTGAATCTATTTGACAATGACTTTTTTCTGTCAAGGATGTATTTTTACATGAGGTAAACAAGATGTGACAAGTGTACCCGATCGTGCGAAACCCTCATGGTTGAACACCCTAGTAGTTCAAGTGTACCCACACCCATGTGATGCAAGTGCATTGGCACTAAGGAAAGGAAAATTGGATTATTGGAAGCTAAAATCATCGCTTTTGTCATAAAGGTTGTCTCTAAACATTGCATGTATCCGCAACACTGTCAAAAACTTCAACAAATTTTTCAACTTTGTTTTCCACTTTTCAAACTTGTCATTTTACTGTTTTTTTATCAAAAATGAACTTTTTTTCGCATTCGGCCTCTGACATTGATAAGTTATGCAGTTTGGCATTGTGGAAACTTTTTGGTTATGTCAGAAAATTGATATTTTGTGCAATTAACTCCTTCTTCATAATACATTCTATAAAGATTGAAAATAATTTTAAAAGTTGTTCAAATGACATTTAGAGTCGTTTTATCTGTTTCTCTTTTACAACATTTGATAAGGTACGCCGTGAATTATAACCTCTATGGAATGTTTACATCAATATTGAATAATACAAAGAAAGATAACAGGATCTAACAAAAAATAATGGACAGTAGGCCTCAGACCACAACGATTGTAACCATTGGTTACAATGCATTTCTTTGTAAAAGTCAAATTGAATTAAAATATTTGTATCAGTTCAAACATGAAATAAATTTAACTGCGTATAGACCATTATTATTCTAATAAAATGACAAACTGACAACGACAAACAAAAAACGACCAAAAGTACAAAACACAACTCAGAAAACGTAATACCGAGGAACACGAACCCAACTAAAAACCAGGGTTCATCTCAGGTGATCTGGAAGGGCAAGCAGATCCTATATGTGAGGCCAACATTGTGTATTTCTTTGTTTTGCGTTCACTTTCTGGAAGGAGGGAAAATAAACACAAATAGTATATTGAGAATCATAAAATTAGGACCTTAAAGGGCTCATTTAGATATCCTAAATCAATATTTGCTGCGAATTAAAGACATTATAAACTTAAGTGTAGTTTGTTAGATTAAACTTTTACCACAAACAATGTTTTATTGATGTTAAAAATTAGCGTTAGCTGTAGATCGGTTTATAATGAGTGTATCTTTATTTCCTGGATGGTCGGTAGGTCTTGGTGGCTTGACGAAGGCCATTAACAGAGGACGATTTCATCATCAGTTGTTTAAGAATAATTAACTTATAGTTATCTTTTATAGACATATGTAACACGTTTACACACAAGATGCACCAAATGATTATATGTCATTTACTGCACATTTCCAAGTAAAAGTTATAATTACAGTTATGTTCACTCGATACTTGGACTCGTTGTATATTCTGATAATTCAAGAGTTTTAATTACGGATTTCAGCGGTTGAAACAGGATGTCCATTTCCTATGTACTTACTAGGAAGTAATGCACGTATATGTGTAAACACAGTTATCTAGAATCACACTGTGTGTATACTGTTACCAAAGGTAGTTTTCTCGGGGAATTTTTGGAAACCCCTTGAATATTTAAATGAATTTGATATAATTTACAATTTTTTTGTCAACAATGTTATCATTGTTTATGTATTTTAAATTTGAAATTGAATATGATATTATTATACTGATACATTGAAATTTAAATTACGAATTTGAAATTCATTTTTAAATGACGTTATTATCAGTATAAATAAGAAGATGTGGTATGAGTGCCAATGAGACAACTCTCCATCCAAGTCACAATGTATAAAAAATTACAACTATATAGGTCAAAGTACGGCCTTCAATACGGAGCATTGGCTCACACCGAACAGCAAGCTATAAAGGGCCCAAAATGACTAGTGTAAAACAATTCAAACAGGAAAACCAACGGTCTCATCTATATAAAAAATGAGAAACGAGAAACACATATAAACCACATCAACAAACGACAACCACTGAACAACAGGCTCCTGACTTAGGACAGGTGCATAAAAATGCAGCAGGTTTCTTTTTTAAATGTATTACGTGTATTCACATCGACTACATGATTACATACAAAATTCGATTTGTTATTTTTCTTTTATGATAACAGATATAGTATATCGTACATTTCATAACCACATGAGTAATATCTTTGATTTATTTTCGTATTTTTATTTTAAAATTTGACCTGCAACGAGGAATAGGGGAATATAGGGTTCCTAGTCTAAATCGGTTTATCGAATATCAAAAAAGTCTATACTGAGAGAAAATGCCTATCAAGTCATTTTGAAAACTTACTTGCTAAGGTAAAATGTATATATTTTGAACAGATATTCCATATTTAAAGGGGGTATGTAGTCAAGAGCCGTTAGGCAAAGTTTCTGCCAAAGACTGATATGAACGAAATTTGTCTAAATAAATATTTGAAAATTCATGAAAATGTACTTAGCTATCAACCAATCAAAAATCAAGGATATTTATTAAAAGGTAATCAACTTCTTAATTACATCTTGATATATATCATGAACTTTGGTTGGTCGTTAACTGGTATTTTTTTAATTAGTTTTTATTCTAATATTCGATAAATTTCGTTCAAATTTCACCATTGCTGTGGTATTTGCACAAGGCCCGTTTCTTTACCATATCAGTCGTGCATGGTATTTGCCAAAACGTATAAATGACTTTGATACCTTTCGTTGAGACGATTGTTGCGCTTATTTTTGCCTTGTTGAAAAGTATGCTAAAATTAATGCATTTTGATCCAAAAATATTATGTATCCAGGGTTTCATTTCAGGTAAACGTTTATTTCTGGCTAAATTTGTTCATTTTAATATATTTTTAATTCAATGTGAGCATTTAATTGATTTTTTTTGTGTTTAAAAATAATTTTGACTTCTTAAGACTTCCCATGTATAGCATACAAAACGTAACAGATTTCTTCAAGTACACATGTAGTTTGCAAAATGACATAACATATTCAAACTATACGATGAATTTATGTCAATGGTGCATAAAAAACACAGTCACAAATCTTTAGAATTGAAAATAAATTTGATTAATGTTACATCATCATGTAACACCATTTATATAATGAATTAAAGGTTACACATTTATTAATGTATGCAGGTACAAATATACTCATACAAAAGATTCAAACGTCTTTAGCATTTATGCTCTTACTTTGTGGACTTTTGTTTGTCTGTTTGTCTGCTAGTTATTATCTTTTGACATAGTGCTGTTTGTCTTTCCTGGACTTGTTGTTTTTCTTTTGACATAGTGTTGTTTGTCTTTCCTGGACTTGTTGTTTTTCTTTTGACATAGTGCTGTTTGTCTTTCCTGGACTTGTTATTTTTCTTTTGACATAGTGCTGTTTGTCTTGCCTGGACTTGTTGTTTTTCTTTTGACATAGTGCTGTTTGTCTTGCCTGGACTTGTTGTTTTTCTTTTGACATAGTGCTGTTTGTCTTTCCTGGACTTGTTGTTTTTCTTTTGACATAGTGCTGTTTGTCTTGCCTGGACTTGTTGTTTTTCTTTTGACATAGTGCTGTTTGTCTTGCCTGGACTTGTTGTTTTTCTTTTGACATAGTGCTGTTTGTCTCCCCTGAACTTATTGTTTTTGATTGCCGGTAACTTCTTCATTTTCATAGTACAAGTACCTTCGTTTATATCTATTGATTTCAACGTCGGTTACTGTTTAAAAATCAAAATGTGTTCTAATTCTTATTACATAGGACTTAGTGTCACAACACAGACTGTGGAATATAACTTGTTAAAACATTAAGATGTAAAACGTTTGAAATTTTGAATTGGTACCATCGCTTATAAATTTGCTTTTGTGGGAGTACCTTTAAAACCTTTTTTTCAATGCCGAGAAGATAATAAATAGTCAGACAGACCTATTTACTTCAACCGGTTCTAGATATGTTATCTGCTACTTCTAAACTGAATCGAAATCAGACGTTATTAGGTGGATAGTTGTCTCATTGGCAATCATATCACATCTCCTTATATGTATAAAGTGATAACTTTTCAAGGAAGCTTGATATGTGTTATGACTTTTTAGGGTGTATATGTATTATTACTTATCAGCTTTAATATATTATAGATAAGAAAGGTAAATATTTTGCATTGCTTTTTACTGAATCATTGTTGAATTTACACCCTCGTCCTGTGGTCTCTGGTTGATAGTTTTCTTATTGACACTCCTAACACGTGTCCTTATTTATACTAATATAATGAAGGAGGTATACTCATATCTTTAATTTTTTGGAATATCTATTTGACCTTACTGTTAAAGTGGCCTTGTTATGCTACAATTTTACATGTTCACACACAATTTGTTTACTTCTATATTCGAATTAAAGATTTAGTTTGGTTTGCTGTTCACTTTTCATGCATACTGTTTTTTTTTGTTCTGTCATTATTGTTTTACAATTGTAGCAAAAATAGATCTATCAACTTTTCAAAGATAGTGTATCCTACATATTGTTAAAGTTGAATTTAAAGTAGTATTCCTTTTTAGCTCACCTGGCCCAAAGGACCAAGTGAGCTTTTCTCATCACTTGGCGTCCGCGTCCGTTAACTTTTAAAAGAATCTTCTCCTCTGAAACAACTGGGCCACCACGATCATCTTAAGGGTATCTAGTTTAAAAAATGTGTCCGACGACCCCGCCTGCCAACCAAGTTGGCCGACATGGCTAAAAATAGAACATAGAGGTAGCATGCAAGTTTGGTTTAATATTTCGAAAACCATACTAAATAGAGAAGATCTGACAAGGGCATAAATGTTCAGTATGTTGAGCTCTACCAATTGCCTAATTACAGTAAAACTGTTAGGGGAATTCTTATTCCGCTATATAGATGATGTTCTCTCACTAAATAATACAAAATTTGGTGACTATGTTGAACGAATCTATCCCATCGAACTAGAGATAAAGGATACTACAGATACAGTTAAGTCTGCCTCATATCTTGACTTACATCTAGAAATTGACAATGAGGGTCGGTTGAAAACAAAACTTTATTACAAAAGAGATGATTTCAGCTTCCCAATTGTGAACTTTCCATTTCTATGTAGCAACATTCCAGCAGCGCCTGCATACGGAGTATATATCTCCCAATTGATACGATATTCCCGGGCTTGTATTTCCTATCACGATTTCCTTGATAGAGGATTGCTGCTAACAAGGAAGCTATTAAACCAAGAGTTCCAAATGGTGAAGTTGAAATCATCCCTTCGTAAATTTTACGGACGCCATCACGAGTTGGTTGACCGTTATGGAATAACCGTTTCACAGATGATATCGGATATGTTCCTTATGTCGTAACTACAATACCCTTCCCTTTTCACGAATGTGACCTACCGAATTAGACTATTTACCGGATTTGTAATAACATAAGCAACACTACGGGTGCCACATGTGAAGCAGGATCTGCTTACCCTTCCGGAGCACCTGAGATCACCCCCAGTTTTTGGTGGGGTTCGTGTTGCTTAGTCTTTAGTTTTCTAAGTTGTGTCATCTGTACTATTATTTGTCTGTTTGTTTTTTTATTTTTGGCCATGGCGTTGTCAGTTTGTATTCGATCTGTGAGTTTGACTGTCCCTCTGGTATCTTTTTATAGGAGTTACTACCCTTAAATGACAAATTTTACCATTTTTTTTTATTTTTGCCTATTATCTTGAAAACTATAATAGATTCAGAGAAAATTTAAATTGCAAAAATGATCAGCAAGACAAGATCTACAAATAAGTCTTATGATTGAAATCGTCAGTCGACTCCGTATTAGTGTTATTGCCCTGTGATGACGTTTTTACCATTTTTTTGCGTTTTTGCCTTATATCTTAAGAATTATAATAGATAGATAGAAACTCAAATAAGCAAAAATGATAATCAAGACAAGATCGTCAATTTAGACAAATGGCGGAAATTGTCCGACGACTCCTTATTGGAGTTATTGCCTTTAATGTCAATTTTTACTAATTTTTTTGCGTTTTGCCTTATATGATAAAAAATATAATAGATAAATAGAAACTTTAAATAAAAAAAAGATCAGCAAGGTAAGATCTACAAACAAGTCAAATTTTGCCGATATAGTTATTAGATTGCCACTCTTTATTGGAGTGATTGCCCTTAAGGTCAAGGAACAGTAACTGGGCTATGTCACAGTTTTTTTCTAAAATTTTGCCTACAACTTTGGCTCGTTGAACTAGAGATAAAGGCATTATTTTTTCGATTTTCAGTTAAAGTTCAACGAGCCAAAGGTGTATGCAAAATTTTAAGAAAATCTGTGAAATAGCCCATTTACTGTAACTTGACCTTAAATGGGCATTTTTTTTTACCCTCTTTTGTGTTTTGAGCAAAAATTAAGAAGATAGAGAGAAATTAAACAGACAAAACGATCAGCAATACAAGATCAACATAAAAGAGATTTTTGTCATGAATTCTATTCTCGTCTTCAATGAGAGTGTCCTTTGTTGAGTCGGTACATAGACCTAGGTGAGCGACACAGGCTCTTTAGAGTCTAGTTTTCTTTCTAATATCCTAAAATGATGGTTACTTCATATGAATACAGAATTAAATCTGAAAGAAGTAACCATAGATGTAATAGGTCAAAGATCTATGTAGAAAGATATATCTGTTAAAATATCTGTGAACAATTGTTAAGTTATAATTTATCGTAGTAAGGTTGATATCAAATATTTACTAAAATTAGTTGCGCTATCGATAGCTTACATGAACGAAAATAAATAATCTAGAGACGAATTGGCAGTATGTATGTTAAAAAATACAAATAAAACATGTTAATTATTTGGTAACCACTAACAGTAAAGTTTTCTTTATCAACAAAATAATGTTATTTAAATGCTGCGTCATTTTATCAAACGAAAATGTTAAACTTTATTTTGTATATATTTTGGGCTTCCTCAGAATAGTTTTTTTTTCATTATGTATCATAAGTACATATTAATCGAATGATTACCACAACATGGTTTCGAAAGTTTAAATAGATCTATTTCTTTGTAGACTTGTGGTTTGCTAAATTTTCTTCTTTTTGTCGTATAGAAGGTTTCGATTGAGAAATTAGCTTTTAAAGTTTCATTTTTTAACTTAATAGATGGAAAATAGATATTTGATGTCTATAACTACAATTATACTGGTCAACGTCTTATTTATACAAGATATACAATGACCGAATAGGCTTCAGTTGAACACCAATTTGTATGACATGTTGACCACAGACTAAGAACATGGGTTTAGGTTTGAGATTTAAATACTAATAAAACATTTATGTCCATAGTTTTGTTGAACATGTTGCATCGAGGGTAGATTATCTTATATTTGCTCGTCGTTATCTTTCAACCAAAAACAAGTATTTTTACCAATCAAACTAATGAATGCTGCTACAATACTGATATTTATCTTTTAGTAGTTTTTTCTTTTTTTTGCCATGACATTGGCAGTTTGTTTTTTACTTCTTGGGTTGATTATCCCTTTGATATCTTTCTCCTCTCTTTTACAGTTAAACTTTATGCACTACAGTCTCTCAAATTTTGCCCTGCAAAAGTCACCTGAAGGAGTTATTCAGAATTTAGTCTTTACGCGGTAATAGCTGATAACACATTTACATATATAATACATTATATAAACAAAACAAAAAACAAAGAAAGTATAACGATCTTGGCCCTTGGTTTGCTACACGTGACGTGGAATTATATATATACTCCATCTACGTAGCTTCATTTCTAGGAAATGTGTTTGCGTAGTCGTTTTTTAATTTAGTTGTAAACATTCCATTTTTGTGTAGGAACACTTAACTATCATATTGTACAACTTGAAAAGTATGTACCGAAATATGCCCTCATAGAATTCAACAACACAACACGCATGCTTATTCTGAAACCGAGGAAATATATAAATGGTTGATGGTTTTCCTTTGAAGTATATGTATATGAATTTGGAGGAGGTTAAACCTTAGCCGGACGTCTGTTCCCATATAGAAATAAGAAGATGTGGTATGATTACCAATGAGACAACTTTAGGTCATCAAATTTGTTATGTTAGATACCCTTAATTTAAAGCATCTTTAAGTGACGATGAAGTCGAGCGTGTAATTTTTACCTGAAACAATTTAATTCATTAGAGAGAGTAAAAACATTTCAGAATTAATGATATCGCGTGTCTGTCCTAGGTCTGATGATTACGCTTTTTTATGTTTTTACTATTGGCTTTTGACTATTGCATGTTAATTTGTTTGTTCACTATCTACTAACCTAATTCGTGACCTTCGGAAAGGATGGTGCCTATCTTTGCTTCAAAAGCCCGTTCCCTGTAAGGTTTCTTTTGGTGTCATATAGATAAGGATAATGTTTCAGAGGCTGAAACCAAAATAAAAGATAACAACAAACACAAAATATGACGTAATATTGATACTGCGAAGCACTCCGTACCTTTTTATATTTCCTTGTAGTATTTGGAGCATCGTTTCAGTAAGGACGTAAGGACGTCTAGTTAAATTTTTAATGACTATAGCACTTTATAAATTTTGCGCGTCCAAAGCACTTTTCTAGAACTGTTTCGGTTCATATACATCCTTGGCTTTTAAATATTTTGCTTTGAGCGTTTCTGATGAAGGTAAATCAAGAAAAGCGCTTCAGACGCATGAAATTTATAAAGTATTGTTTTCATTTTATACATCACTGGGTCGATACCTCTGCTAGTGGACTATCAGTCCTCGAGGGTATCATCAGCTCAGTAGTCAGTACTTTGGTAGAAACTGACATAATTTATTACAAACCTATCTGAAACTGCCCGTTTATAAATTTAGAATTATAAAGAAACTAAGGTTTCGACTCCCTCAGGCAAAGTTTGCCTTAGATGGTTTTGGCTATTTTTTTAAGATCCTTTTTGGTTATTTTGCACTTCAACTGTTTCGATTCTTATACATCATTGGCTTTCAAATATTCGACTTTAAGCGTTCCTGATGAAGGTTAATCCAGGAAAGCGCTTCGGATGCATGAAATTAATAATGTGTTGTTTTCATTTGTAACCTTCATCTGGTACGCTCAAACCCAATCATTTTAAAGCCAGGGTAGAAATGTTGATGGCTATACGACCAACAGGAACATATAAAGAATAGTTCAATTTATTTAAGGTCAACTTGCCTTAGGGAGTTGGAACTTAAGTTTTAAAGTAATTTTGTAAATATATGTTTTGTTTGTATCTTTTTAGTATTTGGAGCATCGTTTCAGTAAGGGCGTACGGACAGCTGGTTCTATGACATTTTCTATACAAATGGTAAGTAACGTAAACATAAACTCTAATATAATGATATAATGAGAACGGTCACTGATGAGTCTTTAGTAGACGAAACGCGCGTTTGGCGTACAACATTTTAAGCCTTGTAACTTTGATGAGTTTGATAAACTTTTAAATTTAACAGTAATAAAGAACCACGACCGATATCATAGGTTATCTTTAAGATTTTAAACGAATTTTCTTTTATATTTCATCTCTACCACTATTTTATAAATTTATGATACAACACTACATCTGGGAGATTAGATAAGAGTATGGTGCTGCTGTGATATAATATAAGCTTGCGAATATGAATTGCTTAAAAAATACAAATGTTTACCATCTAGTCTAACTACCAGTATTTAGTAGTAGTGATTAAACCATGTATTCATTTCGTAAATTTATTGATATAACATGTATATTGCAGTTTATAAGAAACTTAATACCATTTTTGGTTCAAATAGAACTTGAGTAATATCCATGATCTAACGTACATCTGTAAATGATTCCGTTTGTTTTTCAGTTGTTGTATATGGCGCTTGTTCTGTATGCTCCATCACTTGCTTTATATGCAGGTAAGAAATGTGTAGGGTTTTCAGTTATCGTATATTTCACTCATTTCATTTTTCCGCAAACTGAATTGTATTTAGTCATTGTATCTCTTAATTCGGAGTAAGGTCACTTAATATCTGTTTTGAAAATAAATGTTGTGAACTATTAAGTTTAACCTGAAAGTAACTCATTTGGTCTGTGGTTGAGAATTGTCTCATTGGCAATCATACCATATCTTCTTATTTTTATATTAATTGCATACTAGTATCTTAAAAAATCACTTGACAGTGAGAGAGCATTATTCGATGTGAGAAACATGGTACACTGCTACTGACATATGTAAACATGTTCCAATGTTTTGTTCTCAAAAGCAGGTAAATAAAATTCTCGAGGATGAAATCTTGTTCAATAAAATGTATTTACCATGAACATCTATTGTATTTTGTTTCAACTGGTGGCGCAAAATTCTTGAAAATAATAATAATATACATAAGAAACTACCAGGCTTGTAATTTAATACGCCTAAATAGCGTTTCATCCACACGAGACTCATCAATTGCGCTGGAATTAAAACAGTTGGACAGCCAATTAAATCAAATGAAAATTTGACGAGCATCGAAAAACAAAAACATTTGCGAATTACGACTAAGGGCACCTATACCTGGGGTTAGAAAAACATTAGTGTTTCGAATATTCAATATTTCATAAGCAGTAAATTTACAGAAAATTACCGTATCAATAATTTTTCACGTCCACACAGAAGTGCTGTGTTTTGGGCTGGTGATATCCCAGTGGAATATACATGCAAACTCATTACTGTATTAAATCCTGTAAGCTGTGAGGGATATGAATACAAGTGCATAGCACATTTTGCAGGCCCCACAACAGTAGTTTCAGTTTAAAATTTTCCTTGTTTTTTTTTTAATTTAATATGATTTAAAATTTTTAATTCATATAACTTAAGCTGCATTATAGAATATGAAACCTAAAATCAAGATAAATCCGCACAAATATCCATTGTCAATTTTATTTTAATATATTTACCTGCACACTAAGTCATCCTCGATTTCTCATCCTGTATAGAGAGATATTATTTGTAAAAGTATGTATATCAAATAACTTAATCCCATCAAAATATTTACTTGATCTAATGGGTTAGTTTTGGGATAATTTGCTTGTGCAGGAAAAATTGACGAAAGGTACAAGCGAGCAATAAGTCTAGAAAAAAACTCATCAATGATACCCGGCTGATTTTTTTCCGCCAATTGCGCGTTTCGTCTACACAAGAATCATCATACGCATGAAAAACAGACAACTCCATTGCTAAAATGAAAAAGACATTGAAACAAAGAACAGTTCACAAAACGTTACACAGAAAACTAAAAACTGAGCAATGCGAACCCAAAAAACCAGGAAAGATCGCAAGTGCTCCGAAAGGGTAGCAGATACTGCTACACTTGTGGTATCCGACATATGGCAAGTACAAACCAACAGCCTTTTACGTTAAATCCTTACGACATAGTTACTGGTAACATGTACATGATCAATTGTCGCCTTATCATTTTATTGTAATTTAATTTTTCAGTCTCCTTTTTAATATTTGTTTATTCGGACACCTACAACAGTGCACTACGTTACTCCTCTGGCAAAATTGACCTTAGATGGATGTAGCTATTTTATTTTTGGTGTTTTTTTTTCATATAGCTCTTCAACTGATTCGGTTCTTATACATCCTTGGCTTTCAAATATTCGGCATTGAGAGTTCCTGATGAAGACAGATTCAGAAAAGCGCTTCGGACGCATGACATTTATAAGGTGTTGTTTCCATTTTTTCCCTCTAGTCTACGAAATTTATATGAAGGTGTCGAAGTCAGATATCATTATACATCAGTACATTCAGTTAGTCCTGATAAATGTAAATAACATGTCTTTCAGGAGATCAACTGATATTTGTTTAAGAGCTGAACTATTATTTATACTAAAATTCTGAGTTTGTGGACAATATATATAAAAATAAGAAGATGTGGTATTATTGCCAATGAGACATCTCTCCACAAGAGACCAAATGCCTTCTACTCTTAACATATGTTTTGACCTCTATTGCAGTGACTGGGTTTACCCTATGGGGATCAGTCATATCTGTCGGAGTTGTCTGTACGCTTTATACTTCTCTTGTAAGTACCATTATACTAAGATTTGGAATAGTTTTATCATGTTCATCCGGATATCTGACTGACTTCCAATACGATTATGTCTAGTGCTTATTAACATCAATAAAAGTAGGCGTATATCTCGTTAAATATCTGGAATATTTTAGTCCTTTTATTAGTGACGCCCAGACGTAAAACGAACGTTATATTAAAAGAGCTATTCCCTCAGTTACAGTTTCTACCTTGTTTTGTTTCTTCTAAAAGAATTTATAAGACTTTGAGATCGGTAAACTACTGTTTCCTCTAATTTAAAGTATGGATCACATTTAAACAACAAGAACAACAAATAGTGTATTTGCATATCGCGGTGATCAGAATGAGCAGAATTATTACGATAATAATTTTCAAACATAATGTGAAAATAAAATAAAATTAGAATAAACAAGTATAAGTTGATTAGTTTTGATTTTATTGATTAACATCTAGTAATAAAGTAAACGAAATAAGTAATCTGTAATAATGAAAATATATAATACGACCCATTGTTTATTACTCTGGACCCTTTACTAGACAGAAAGCCTCTGTTTTATTATTATTTCTTAATTATAAATAATCTACAGGCATATATGATCATATTTATCTATAACTCTAAACAAACATGACGAAAGACAAACTGATTTTATTTCTGTTTTCATTTAAAACCTTTAATAATTCACAAATTACTGTCAAAATTTCGTTATCTTCATTTCCCATTTACCAAATAAAAAGAGATTTGTTGGCAAGTTTTGAAATGCTTTTATTTTTATTAATTATTTTGGCAAGAAAGAGACTTCTAACATTGAATAAAATCTTTACATGTTAACAGAAAATACATTAAAAAAAGTATGAAAAAAGTGGTTTTATCATATGAATATTAAGGTTGTTTTTTATTATTACCGTGTTGAAACAATGCCCTATTGCTACTCGGGTTAATTCGTTAAACGGCTATTTCTATCAGAAAGCTGTCGCAATATGTGATAATTTTTATCCTTGAAGATATAAAAGTTTAACTTCATTTCCTTATTTAAAAAGAAATGTTTGAATGTCTAGATACATGCACTGACATTGAAATTTGCGTTTATAAGTTCACAACAGATTGAAAACAAACCCACAAAGCTTGTTTTGTATCCAATCCGGACCTTTGAGAAGAAGAAAAAAAAAATAAAACCTATACCAAAAGAAGGTACAAGAAGGGTTGTTGACCTCTAGATGTTTTTTTTTTGGTTTTATTCAGTTGTGTCTCAAAACTCAGTCATTGACGTATATTATATTGGAATTAAATATTACAGCTAATCCTGTAATTTGATTGGTTAACTTGACTGGTGATATGAAGCCATATTCCATTTGAATAAAAACGAAATCCAGAATGGTATTTTATGTTGAAACCAGGACACTCCAATATGGTATAATTGTTATTCGGGCTTCACATTATATAATGGCTCATATTGCCTGTCAGTGACCTATACTCTCTTCGCCGGAATCAGATGATATAAAACACAAGAAGATCCCGAATAACATATATAGTAGCATAAATCAACCTTCGTTCAAGTTGACAAAGAAAATTAGTTTTACACTGTATAGCTATTTTCCTATTTTATGTTTTTCAATTAAAAAGCTGTTTCTTAGAATTTCACTTGTTATTATCCTCAGCCCCGGTGCATGAAAATGCGGATATTGTTTGATTTTCATTTTTTGTTATACAGTTTTGGAACCATCTTGAATAGCTGAATATATCTACATCATGCAAAGTTCTGATTCTTTGTCCGGATTTGAGTAAACTTTAGTTCCTTTTTGCTTTGTTCAGTTCTCGGAAGTTTGTATATGTTTTCGATTTTCAAATATTTTAGCCTCGAGCATCACTGAAGAAACATTTATTGTCGAAATGCAAATCTAGTGCAGTAAAATTGGTGCCGTTAATGTAATATTTTTTTTTTATTTTGACTTTAGGGTGGAATGAAAGCAGTATTGATCACCGACTCATTTCAAGTTATTATAATGTTTACTGGTCTGATAGCAATTCTGATAAAAGGAAGCATAGAAGTTGGTGGCTTCGGCGAAGCATGGCAAGCTGCTTATGACAGTGGAAGAGTTTATTTTGATGAGTTAGTATCAAGATATTCAAGCATTTGAATATATTTTCCTTTTCCTTTTTCTCCGATCAGGAAAGAGCACGGGAGCGACTCTGCGACATATAAGCCAAAAGTACAAGACTGAAATGATCAAATTCCAGCACACAATCAATTATAAAATAAAATCCCGTTTAAATAAAAAATCGAAATGTTATCATGTGCTCCTTCAAAGTCTGTGTTAGTATGAATTAAGAATAACATTGACATTTTGTTGATTAACACTTCAAGAATGCATTTGTTTGAAGTAAAAATTGAACCCATATTTCTTTTTATCGATATGTACATTTGCGGATTTTTAAATTAAGTTATTTTTGATTGCATAACGCGTTAGGTAAGGTATCTCTAAATTGTTCTCTTCAAAATGAATGCTGTAAAAACAAATCTTAACTAGCAGGTATATAATAGCTTTACTCTAACACGATTCTGACCTTATTTTTCTGTTTATATTATTACAACTGTTATCAATCCCATGTGTGTCTTATTGTACCTTGAATCTTAGATTTTAACTGCTATCTGTATTTTACCTTCATATTCATTTTTTTTGTTTTTATTCTGCAATTTGAAACAACGACAACACTATTAAAATTTATAAATGTTTCCCATTGGTTAGTTTTTTTACATGTTTCTCTTTTTTTTCCTAGTTTTAGTCCAGATCCTGCTATTCGACACAGTGTTTGGTCACTAGTAATTGGTGGAGCATTTACTTGGGTTGCTATCTATGGAGTAAATCAAGCTCAAGTACAAAGATGTTGCACTTGCCCGACATTAAAGCAAGCTCAGATGTAAGTTTGAACAGTATTAAGTGTTGATTAACATGTTGGGTGATGCATGCAGTAGACGCTTACCCTTTCGACGCACCCGGTCTCCTCGATTGAGCATCAGTAAACTACTGTCGCCTTAATTTGCATGTTTCACCCCCATAACTGAATATATCCTTGAAATGACTGAAATTCAGGTGAAATACTGTATCTGCTGATATAGAAATTAAGTTTTTGGAACCTTTTAACATCACCTAGGCAATAGAAGGTTATATAGTTCATCCATGAAATAAGAAAGTGGAGCTTAATACGAGTATTCACATAGTAATAGATTTATATAATGCTTTCTGTTCTTATGTTTTTCAATGTTTCTAGGACAATGTTGTTGTATTTTCCATAAATGTGTTGTGGGTTTGGTATTGTTTACTATAGTTCATGTTTTTCAGAGGAATGTGGTCGAACTTCCCAGGATTATGTGTTATGCCTCTGTTGATTGATTAGTGTTCCTAGGGCTTTGTTTTTTCTCATAAAAGTGTTGTCAGATTGAGATTGTTGTCCATGATGTATGTTTTGCAGAGCAATGTTGTTGAACTTCTCTATTTTTTGTCATTATCTTGTATTGTCTGGTGGTTACAATAGTCTATAGTTTTTTTTAGAGCAAAGTGGTTGAATCTCCTATGGCATGTTTTATCATAATCTTGTGTTGTCAGATTGGTATGATTGTATAATGGTCTATGGTTTTTCGGAGGAACGTGGTTGATTCTTCCAGGGTTATGTTTTATCATAATCTTGTGTTGTCTGGGTGGTATTGTTGTCTTTATTATTATTTCGTTTGATCAATCTGGTTGAACTTCCCATGATAATGTTTTATCATATGCCTCTGTTGTTTAATTAACAGTGTTGTCTATGTTTTGTGTTTCGCAGAGCATTGTGATTGAACTTCCAATGATTATAATTCATTCTATACATTTGCTGTTTGTTTGGTTTGGTTGTCTATGTTTTAGAGCATTGTAATCTAACTTCCGAGGACTATGTTTTATCATATACTTAGTACTTGTGTTTTCTGATTGGTACTGTTTACTATGGTTCGTGTTTTTAGAGCATTGTGTTTGAACTTCCTAGGACTATATTTTTTCATATACTTGAGTTGTCTGATGCGTATTGTTGACTATGGTTTTTGTTTTTCAGAGCAATGTGGTTGAATTTCCCAGGACTATGTTTTATTTTATACCTGTGTTGTCTGATTGGTATGGTTGTCTTTGGTTTGTACAGTCACTGTGATCCGTTTAAATATGGATCAATAACAAGTTCTGATCAGGTAAGGAATTACTTATCATAAATTGTTTAAAGATAAATCGCAACTTCTGAATAGGTGAAGTATTGTAATTTTTTTGGGATATGAAAGCTTGATAAAATCTTCTGATTCGTTATGACGTTGGTTTGATTAATTTTTTTTAGAAAATCTTAAAAGTTTAATATGGTCTACTTGTCAAGAAAAATATTGTGTTTTTCATGTAATCTTAAGTCCGAATTTAGTTCGTCCATTAGAAGATTTTTTTCAAATGTTTTGTTGATTTTAATTTTTAGTGCTATCACAAATTTATCTAAAATAAGTGAAATATGTTTGAAATAAGATGTGTGATATCCGTACGTTAATGAAACAGCAACCCAGCAAAAACAGAAAAGACAGATAGAAGTCAACATGCAGTTCCGTTTGGGGATCTAAATATGAAATACAATTAAGTAACAAAAACGATGACTAATTACAGTGTGTATGTATATCGATTTCTAGGACACTAGTTTACAGGCTCCATTTCAATGATCAGAAATAAAATTATGAAAACAATACATTCATCAAGAATTTTGATTATTTCCTTCTTTTTTTTGTTTTTTTAGCTTTTACCTTTATTCGTAATGGACGTTCTTGGCAGACTACCAGGTTTTCCAGGATTGTTTGTGGCCTCTCTCTTCAGTGGAGCATTGAGGTATTATTTTTGTGAATATTTTAAATACACATAAATGCAAGTCGAAAAATAGTTTACCAATTCGTTTAAGTAATACAAGGAGGCTTCAAGATCACATGGGACAATTACGAACGTTAATTTAAAGAAATGCTAGTCCAGTGAAAAAAAAATTATAACATGAGAACTAAAAGTGAGGCATAACAAAGACGCTTATTCTCTAAATGATTGGTATGTCAGACGATTTTATTATGTGGCCAAACGAAATGAACCAGAAAACTAGTCAGTCACGATTTTGAAATAGTATGTAAAGCAGGTAGCGGTGCCACATGGTTTGCTGTTGGGTATGCTGCTCATTTCTCATATATACTGAGAATGGAAACGGGGAATGTGTCAAAGAGCAGAAAACAGCCCAAGGCCACCAATGGGTCTTCAACACAGCGAGAAAATCCCGCACCCGAAGGCTTCAGCTGGCCCCTAAACAAAAATGTGTACTAGTTCAGAGAAAATGGATGTCACACTAAACTCCAAAACATATAGATGAACCAAAATTAAAAAAAAACATACAAGACTAACAAAGGCCAGAGGTTCCTGGCTTGGGACAGGCGCAAAAATGCGTAAGGGTTAAACATGTTTTGTGAATTCTCAACCCTCCCCTATACCTCTAGCCAAAGTAGAATAAACAAACACATAGCAATACGCACAGTAAAACTCGGTTTAAAAGAAGTCTGAGTCCGATGTTAGAATAGCTAAGCAAAATGACAATGATCATCATAAATTAATAAAGGACTACTAGCAATTACTGACATGCCAGCTCCAGACCTCAATTAAACTGATTGAAAGATTATGTCTTCATCATATGAAAATCAAGCACAACCCCTCCAGTTAGGGATTTAGTATCATACCATCATAAAATATACGAGAAAAACATAACCCGTATCATGCCAACAACTGGTTTTAGAATAAATGTATACGTTGATATGCATTTTTAATCATTAGTTTGTTTCGTTATTTTCATTTTCATTTTATTTTTTAATTAATATCTCATTTGACCCTTTTGGTCATTTGCATTGATTATTGCTATCACTTGCGTCTGTAGTCGGCGTCCATTGTCCAAATACTTTTCACATGTTCGTCATCTTTTCTAAAACACTCATTTAATTTAAACCTGCCTTTGCAGGTTTCATTTATTGGAAGTCTTTCACAAATGGTCCTCCTTTCCTTTTGATAAAATTAAAAACATGACAAAACAGCCAATATTGTATTCTAGTGGCCAAAAATCTTCCCCATGTTTTTAGGGATTAGAAATTGGAAGATCCTCCATTAACGATCCTAAGCTAATGCCATTAGAGTGCCAAACAATGCTATATCGGTCGCACATAGTTCGCTTATTAATTTAAATTCAGATTTTCATCTTCTACGTAAAAACTGTATGTCAATTTTAACCAAACTTGTCAAGGGTGGCGAAAGGAATGTTCTCTACAAAGAATACTCATTTGGTTTTTATTGAATGATTAACATAGCCACGAGATACAATTCTGATGTAAATTTTTAAAAGTTTCCACCTGTACAAGGCAAATGGTTTTAAAATTTAATGAATTGATAAGATTGATTGAGAGAAACGCTTTCCAAGGGGGTCTTAATTCAATGTTGATTGAGTCAAGAAAAAAGAAAGTGAGGTACCTAGATACAATTACAGTTTGAAACCTTTAGGAAATCACGTTTTCATCATCACTAAAAAAAACAAGCATAGAAAGATTTTGTATGAAAATTCAACTACAATCTTTCCATTAGATGCAATCTGGATGAAGAACATGGCTGCAGATCAACTTCAATTATTTGTTCTGAAACTTCCATTTTTTTTAAACATTACTTCATAGACAATTAGAAGGGACTTTATGAACAATGATCATGATGAAAAAGTCAATCAAGACGCAGGTACTGTGGCAATGGTAACACATAACTGAAACTGCTTAACCAATGAGAACCAAACTTCGGAGGGAAATGTAATCAAAGTTCTCTATAATAAATGAACCCCTAAGCTAAAATTTTCTCTTTGGCAATTAAGGGGTAAATTAGCCAAATGAGCGATTGAATTCTTTTAAGTTTTATTATTGTCGGTGTATCTCTTTTGAATTTTGAATTATTCGAATTACTAAGGATTTTCTTCCCCAGAAATAAAATGCCTTGCTGTATTTGAAAAAAAACTTTCAGAATTGTGGGATTTCAATGCTCTTCAACTTTGTACTTTATTTGGCCTTTTAACTTTTTTTATTTGAGCGCACTGATTAATCTTTTGTAAACGAAACGTGCGTCTGGGGTACAAAGTTTTAATCCTGGTATCTTTGATGATTTTATTTAGAATCTTGCTTGAGAATGGTGTTTGTTTTACTATGAGCCAATTATCGTATATAAAGATAACCATTTATAAATTTGCTGCCTCCGAAGCTATTTTGCGAAGTGTAAGATTTTCTTCTCGATATAGATCTTTGATCTTCAAAGTTCTAACGATGCCATGTATACCAAAATGCGGTCAGTTTACGAGCTAAAGAAATGTCTGAAGGCGTTTGTATTTAAATCTTTTCTTTTATATTTCAGCACTGTATCTTCTGGTTTGAACTCTCTGTCAGCAGTGGTATTGCAAGATGTAGTCAAAAGTTATTTTGCTCCAGATTTGTCAGAGGAAAAAGCTACAATGGTTTCTAAAATCCTAGGTATTTTGATATAATTTGTCTCATGTGCAGTGGTAAAGTAAACAGAATAGTATATATACATATTGTTTTGATAGTTTGTCGCTCGAGTCTAAAATATTACAGATATGATTATCATAGCGACAATGTCATGGTAATCTTGATAAATTGATCACTGTCTAAAAACAATATATGGTTTAAAATTTAAAATTTAAAAGTCCAATGCAAGTATGTACTTGAATACATATCGAATATTAGGTCAAGATTTATTTGCTCATTGTCACTAAACTGTAATTTAAAGCATGATTACAATGCAAAATATATGATAAAGCAGGTTACATAGACATGTCATCTTTAAATGCATTTTTCACGTGAAGAAAAAAACAATTAAAAATTTGTAAATCGACTTTCCATTGTTTCGAATGAACAGAATTATGATATTGTGATTATCTTAGATTTAGAAAACAAATGTTTCACGAATGAGATTAATTTTGGTCTATTCCTGTACACCTTCGTTTGTTACCTTGATTTGTCTATTTTTAATCGATTTACGAGATTAACATCGATAAAATACTGTAACCTAAATTTACCTATGCTTTGCATGGGGCGTTTTTCTAGTTGTCAACAAATGTACTTCATTTTGCAATCTTGTGAATGTTATGATTGTTCTGGTGTATTCTGCTGCTCTTTGAATTACAAATTAATTCACACAGGGTCTATGTATTTTACGTTTTATTTATTCTACGTCTTTTATGGGATTGGTGCATACAAGTCAGTAAAACAGTAAAAACTGCAGAAAATATTCCTTCGCAATTTTTTTTTACTTTTCCAAAACATTTCGCAGCCCATTTTGAAATTTCTAACAAAATATAATGACATTCCAATAAAATTAAAACCGCACAAGTTATGCAGTCATTATTAAATTCAGATCAAAATTATAACAAACACGAGTAACATGCACAGTGTAACCTAAATTTATCACGTTTGGTTTTGGAACAAGCCTTGTGTATTTTATAGAAATATATCTGATTATGTTGATTTGTTGTTCTTTTCAGTGTTCGTTTTCGGTGTTATCTGTTTGGGATTGACGTACGTAGCATCACTTTTAGGTGGAGTTTTACAGGTGAGAAAATTAGTCATACATATAACCGTTGTAGTGGTTTGGAATAGACGAGAGTTAATACTTTACAAATACATGACGCGCTTCAAACCTGACAGGGGCCTAAAAAGCTTGTCAAATCAGCCTTTTCTAATACAATGTCAAATTTACGTCTTGTTGATATTAATTTTGTTTTATTCAAAATATAAGTAACAAATGATTGATTACTATGCTATTGGTGTATTTGAAGACTAACAGTTCACCAACAGTGTAAATCAAAGTAACATGTATCGCTGCTTTCGGTGTCAGTTCTATAATAAGTATCGGTGAGTGTTAAAATTTCTGACTAAATGCTTTCAAAATCAATTTTGTATACTTACTAGTAGTTCATAACGGAACATTTTCAAGCACAGGGTGCCAATATGACGAACAAAAATGTTCCTTTAAATAATGTTATTTCCTGACTAAATCTGATAGCACCCACTATATAAATTCACTCACCTGCATCTGTTAAAAATGTCATAATGTTAATTTCCCATTTCTAAATTATTGGAAATAAATAGATCATTATAAATGAAAAAAAGGATCATTATGTGTTGTAGGCTGCACTGTCTCTGTTTGGAATGATTGGTGGTCCATTACTTGGACTCTTTATTCTTGGAATGATGTTTCCGTGGTCAAATAAGTGGGTACGTAAAAGTAAGAGTAGAAGGTAAGCTTGGGGCCGACAGTCCACCAGCTGAACTGACCCAGCTTTGAGTTATGTAAGCGTTTGCGGCGTATGCCAATGCTATTTATAGGAATGATAAGTGATTTTCATCATAGAAACTATTGTCATGTGACTTGCACTCCATCATTATCTTCAGACTACTGGTCATCACAATATAATAAAACTCAAGGCTTATGAAACTTAAAATAAAGGCAACAGTAGTATACCGGTGTTCAAAAGTCATAAATCGATTGAGAGAAAACAATTCCGGGTCACAAACTAAACCGAGGGAAACACATCAACCATAAGAGGTAAACAAAGGAACAACAGGAACGCTGAAGTGCAACAAAATCAAACGCCAACATACATAGAAACGAACTATTTGATAACAACTGCCATATTCCTGACTTGGTACAGGACATTTTAAGTTATTGTTTTTATCAAATTTGAAAGCAAATACAAGTATTTTATTTCAATTAAGCAAAATCCGAATCCATCTGCTAACCTTTTCGGAGCACCTGAGATC